TGGGAGGGGACAGTGACCCCTTGTCTTGAATTCAAGTACAAGGCTGTGGAGGTCATAACTAGGATGGCTCTGGCTTCAGCTGCAACTAGTGCCTCCCTTAAGTCCCTCCACCTCTGCCCCACACCACTCCCCCTGCTGCATCTGCTTTTCCAGTGCCTGCCCCCTTCCTCTGCCCAGTGCTACCTCTGCTTGTCCCTCTCCCTCGCCATTGCCCACCCCCCAGCTGTTGCTGCTGCACTTTACCCTCAGTTGGAGCTCTGGCCACTCCCCAGCAGTGGTGGTGGTGGCAGCCTGGGTCTGGTGCTGCCACCGCTGCAACCACTGTTGCTGTTTGCTCAGGCGGGAGCCAGAACAGAGATGGAGCAAGAGCCCCAATGGAGAGAAAGTGGTGGCAGCAAGCACCAGAGGGGAGTCAAGCAGGGATTGGGGGTACAGGCACTGGTGAGGAGTAGATGGCAGGGGGTCACAGACACTGGAGATGGGGCGGGTGGCAGAAGGGCAGACACCATGGGGACAGGTGGCAGGGGGAGAGGCAGTCTGCAGCCCCCGATTCCCCCACCAGCTGCCCCCTGCAGCTGCTATCTCCCTACCACTGCTTTCAGCACTTGCAGCATTTCAGGAGAACATATTTAAGATGACCCTCCAATGGTTAGATTCTGTTTATGGATAATGATAAATTTATAGATTTTCCATGTATAGAATCTAATAATTGGGAGGGTCATCTTAAATTCAGTCACCTTGAGTTTGGGTAAATGTGATATTTTTTTCTTCCTATATATCGTTCTAGTAATAAGAGTAAAGAGGGCTATCTGCTGGTTAAGATGCTGGGCAGGAATAGAATATTTGGCTTCATTTTTTAGCTGTGACAGGCTTTCTGTGACAAACTCTGCAGTAGAAATATTGATAACCATGATATATTTTTTTCTGATGTACCTCTTAGCATGATGTAGGGTCTTTCTGTTTGGTTCATGCCTGAAAGGTTTTCAGGCCTGTTATTTTTGGGAGATGGTATGAATCTACCTTCCAGTGTGCGCTGCACCATCTGTCCTGATTGATATGCAGGAGTGTGCAGAGACGGAAATTTAATCATCATTTGTGAATTGCGGTAGGCCAGATACCCTGTATATATTTTGGGTAATGGCAAGGAAGCATTTTAGGTAAGTAAACATGCTCTCTGTCTGCCTTCTTCTCTTTCTTTTAGTGTCATTTTATGGTGACAGCTTTGTGGAATTGAAAATAGCAGAATCATCCTCCCTTACATCCCTGCAGTTAAGATTTCGAACCAGCAAGCCACATGGATTGCTTTTTCTTGCAGCTGGAAAAAAGGATTATTGTTTAGTGGAGTTGCACTCAGGACATGTACAGGTATGCTTTTTAATTACAGAACAGACAGAAAGCAGGTATGGTTTGTATTGCTTAATGTTAGTCTTTAAAATAGTGTTATAATCATAGTCATAGTTTAAAAAAAAAGGGAAAAAAATTAAAGTAACTACCCAATTTTCTCACATACAGCATGTACCTGTTCTCCTCAAATTCCCCAAATATTGGGGCCTGTATATAAAGTGGGGAAGCTGATTTTCTGGCTGGGATAGAAGCACATTGCTTTGCTTCCTACTCTGCAGTATAGCAGCTGTTGTGTTACTTACTATTCAGGCAGCTGAGGGAGTTAATTGACTTAATGGCTCCTTTTTTTTCAGTCCAGAGGTATTAATGATCATACTTTTTTAATGGTCTTGATGTTTTACTAATTAAGCCAACCTTTCTTATGGCAGTTTTGCTATTAGCTGCTCCTGGTTTCTTTCCTCCTATTTCAGCTTGAGTTAAGCAGAAAGGGAGGATGAGTCATCTGAAGATTAGACTCTGCCTCTGCTGTATGTAGCCATAATAATGGAAACATCTTTTTTTCTTCATTCTGCCTTTCTAAAACAAGGTACATATTATATTCTGGGATATGTGAGAAAATATGATATCTGATCATGTTGATATGCAGCATATTTCTTATAATTATAATAAGTAATGATGGCCCTTGGATAAACCCATGTATTGAGTTGACGGGCAAATCAGGATTAGTGACAGCACTAATTCTCATAAACCTTTCCATGCTAGCTTTCAGAAATAAGTCATGCATTTGTTGTAAGGGCATTTATTCTTACAAGGATTTAGTGCTTGGATTCTTGCAGATTTGGGCTACATCAGGACTAGAAAATGGTTCTTTTCTGCTTTTGCATCTAGGCTAAAATGGTGCTGACAGGTAAACCCTCCCAAAACTTGTATTGGATTTGAAGTGTTTACTATTGGCTCACCCATAACTATGATAAATAATTTTATGCTTGTATTTTTTAAATGATTTGTTTGAAAATTAACTTGAGCAGCTATCACAAAATTAAATACTATCAGTTTCTTCTGGATGCACATGATTTGATTTTGCTCATTAAAATTTTCTCTTACAGTTAAGAATTAACTTGGGAGCAGGGGAACAAGTGCTACATTCTCAAAGCAGCTTCCAACTGAATGATTTATTTTGGCACCTGGTGGAACTACGTCATAAAAAAGATAGTATTATTCTCATAATAGATCAACACTACAGAAGCAATGCAAAAATGGCTGAAACTCTCTATGAACTCAATGATGAACATAAAATCTACATTGGCGGGAGAGGTAGCCTTGATGTTCCTTACCTTGACAGTGCAATGACCAATTTTAGAGGATGCATTGATGATGTATTATTTAATCAGAGGGAGATCCTAACATCTCTGAGACCTTACAATAGTTTTAAAAATGTACACGAAGTTTCATTGGGTTGCAGTGATGAATTCTTTGCAGGCGAAGAAGAGCCTATCAGTTTCTTCAGTTCCAAATCCTATGTTTCCTTCCCACTATGGGACATCCAGGGGGAAGGTGTTTTCGAGTGTGCATTGCAGACCTCAGCTCAGCGAGGCTTACTGCTTTATAATTCTGGGCAAAAAGGAGATTTCATTGCCATGGAAATTGAGGATGGACTAATTAAGGCCTATATTGGAAAGAATAAAAGTAGAACACAGCTTTATTCTCTGAAGTCAATCAGTAATAACAAGTGGCACTTCATTGAACTGAAATTTACTGCAAAATATTTGCAGCTGACAATAGATGAAGAAACTGTGAAGACATCACTGGCTTCACATAGCAAGCTACCCCTTCTGAAAGGGCCTCTTTTTATAGGTGGTATAGATGACAGCACACGGGCAGAAGTTATGAAGTTGGAGCTAACTTCAGTTTCTGGGAAGTATGCCAGAGGAGGATCTTTCAAAGGTTGCTTAAGAGACCTGAAATCCAATTCAGAAAGGAAATCATTAAAGAATGTTCTGGTTACAAAGGACATTTCAGCTGGTTGTAGAGTAGAGAGTGCTTTTAATATCAGTTCTTCTGCGACCCCTACAAAGACTCTTATTGCAACGGCAGCCCCAACTTCAGTCATTTTTTCCAACCAATTTTCCTCTGGACCTCAAGGCAAAGAGGATAATAGTCATTTCTTGGTTTTAAATAACTTGATCGTTCCAGAAGGTGGGCAAGCATCACTTGAATCTAAACATATTAAAGTAAATTTAGAGTTTCATAAATATGGGATTCGTCAGTCTCAAATCCTTTTTAAAATAAAGGAATATCCTTCTCATGGTGACTTGAGATTAAATATTGAACAGGGGCAGGAGGAGAATACATTTACCATGTTAGACCTGTGGCAAGGAAGAGTACTCTATGTCCATGATGGCTCTGAGAACACGTATGATTATTTTACTTTTTCCATTTCTACCAGGAGTAAAAAAGATATGCCTTCCTATCTGAAAGGAATTGAGCAGCATGTGTTTAACATTACTATAAGTCCAACAAACGATGATCCTGAACTTGCACTCCCCCAGGGAAATGTATTTCTTCTGTTGGAGAACTCAAAGAAACGCTTGACTGCTGACCTAATAAAAGTTTCAGATAGAGATACAGACTCTGTGGACCTCAGTCTTTCAGTACTTGGAAAACTGAATGCAGATGCAGGATTTTTAGAAAATTCCAAGCATCCTGGAAAAGCGGTCACTATTTTTTCTAATGACGACTTAAAAGAAGGCAACATTTTCTTTGTCCACACTGGCGTCAAAAACTCAAGGATTGTTCTGAGAGCAAGTGATGGAGAAAAAGTGAGCAATACAGTTGTGTTGCGTGTCATGGCCGTGCCTTTGGATTATAAAGTCGCCAACAACTCAGGAATAAAAGTGCTACAAGGTGAAGCAGGTTTGATCATGCTCAGTCATTTGGCAGTAGAAACAAATGCTGACAACCAAGAGATGGAGATAAGATATGAGGTCACAGAATCACCCCGATTTGGTGAAATTCAAAGGCAACGTTCTAGTGGGGAGTGGAAGCAAGTAAGCTCTTTTTCTCAACGCTCTATTGAGCGTGACCGAGTGAGATACTGCAGTACTTTCAAAGAAATGCAGCTGGAAAATGTTACAGATCAATTTAAATTTATGGTGAGCATTGGAGACAAAATCAGTGAGGAGCTCGTGTTTCCAATTATAGTGAAGTGGTTGAGGTATAATTTACTGAAACATACACCTCTAGAAATTGAGAAAACAAAAAAGAAATGCTTGAATTCAGATAATCTTTTTGCTGTCCTCATGGATATAGAACTGCCTGAAAATGAACTTCATTATAAGTTGTTGTCCCTGCCTAAAAAAGGACAAATGCTGCTTAACAACCAACCCTTGAAAAAAAGTTCAACCTTTAGCCAAAAAAATATTACTGATTGTAAGGTAGAATATGAATTAATCAGTAGACCTCATGAAGACACTGAGGATTCATTTAAATTTTTAATTCATACAAAATATTTGCAATCCAATATCTATGATTTCAAAATCAACATCAAAGCAGATCTCAGAAGCATTATTTTGACCAATAATGGCTTGACTGTAACAGAAGGTGAAGGAGAACTAATAACAAAAACGAAACTGCTTGTGCAAATGCTAGATAATAAGGTCTTCCAATATAAGGTTACAAAAAGTCCTCAGTATGGAAAATTAAAACTCATTAATTTTTCAGATTCTTTAGAGAGTAATGATAATATCACCATTTTCACTAATCATGATATAATTAATGAGCGCCTTATGTATGTCCATGATGACAGTGAGACCATGTTTGATGAATTTCTTGCTGTCGCATCCGTCAAAGAATCAGGAACAAGTGTGAACTCTGATTCAGATACAGAACACCTATCAGTAGAGATTAGATTTAATATCTCTGTTGTGCTGAAGAATGATGAGAAACCAGTACGTGTAGTTGATAAAGTATTTCATGTAGTTAATAATGGGCAGAGGTTACTGACCTTAGCAGACCTCTGCTACCATGATCCTGATTCTGATTTTGATGATGGTCAGTTGCTGTACACAAGGCGTGGGATTCCTAATGGAGACTTGGTGCTAGTGAATGATACCACCTATAGACTGTATCAATTCAAGCAAGAAGACCTGGAGCAAAAGCAAGTCCTATTTAGGCACAAGGGTGCAAGTTATGGACGCTTTGTGTTATTTGTAACTGATGGCAAACACTATACATCTTCACTTCTAGAAGTTAGCGCTTCTGATCCCTATCTTAGACTAGCAAACAATACAGGCTTGTTGGTCCAGAAAGGAAAAGAAAAAACTATTACAATAGCTAACCTTAGTGTTATCACAAACCAAGACATTAGAAGTGATCAAGAGATTACATACAAGATATTCTCATCTCCAAAGTATGGAAGGATCTATGTAAATAACCTAGCAATGGATTCCTTTACCCAGCTTGATCTGAAAAGGGGATGTGTGATTTACAGGCATGATGACAGTAACAACCTTGCTGACACATTTAACATTACAGTATATGCTAATGCTATCCATTTGGATGTTGGAATGCATGTCCATGTGTACCTGCACAGTCATCAGCATGCACCAAGGGTCATACACAATAACAACCTTCTAGTTGAAGAAGGAAAATCAGTTAAAATCAGTAAGGGAAAACTGCAGGTAAGTTGCCTACATGGTCTGTTGAGCTTAACATTTCTATCTGTAACAGATTTTCTCCTTTATTTTTCAAGTGTTGAAAGCTATTTTGAATTTCCTAATTCCAAAAAACTGTCTTCTCTAACGCACATTTTTCACTAAGTTTTGTTATTGGTAGATGTTTAATTATGGGGAGTGATTCTGACACAAACATGCTTTCTTCTATAGGAAGGTTATGATTCCTGTAATGCTTGTATGTAAGAAGATTAAGATTGAGAGATGTGCTTACTCCGACTAAAACAAAGCCAATCAGCTTTAAATCAATGTATTTGCAGTTCACATTCCAGTATAGGCAAACCACTAAGTTAAGCTATGTCTGAAATGTGAATACAGGGTTAGGCTGGAGCTGTGTATCCAGCAATGCATCTTACTCAGCATTTTAAGTACATCAGATTACCAGAGATAAGTTCTGCCCTACCCTCATTAAAATATTTTCTCAGCTTGTTTAGATCATTTGTCAATAAATAACACCACAAGGGGGCTCCTTTAGCACATTATTCTGCTAGCTTCAAAATCCATATTCAATGCGTAAATCCACAATTCTTTGTCAGTTCCTTAATTCATTGTTTTGCTTTTGTTTAATTTAAGAGATAGAAGAGTATATGTTTGGGTTTATGAAACACTGTTATGCCATATTACCTAACACACAATTTCTGAGATGTATTGTGTTCACATTTGCAAATAGATAGGTGAATAAATATTCAGTGGTTTACCCCTAAAGGATTAAAGTGTGAAAGGTTTTGATTGCTTTATATTTATTATAATATTTTTTCTGTATGTATGTATTTAAGGTTGTTCATGAAAATAGTTCTCCTTCTGAAATAGTGTTCATGGTAAGGACCCCTCCAGTGTATGGATACATTCGGAAGTTTGCATCAGAAGAAGGTTACACTAGTGCAGAACAAAAGCCGGTTTTGATCTTTACCCAGCAAGATATCAATGATGGCACCATTCAGTATGTACAGACAGTTTCGGATGAACTACGAGACCATTTTTCATTGGATGTCACCAATAGCATCCAAGAGATCAGTGGAATAGACATCTCTGTAGACATCATACCCAAACTGATTCCATTAGAAGTGCAGAACTTTACAGTAATAGAAGGTGGTTCTAAAGCTGTGATGGAAGACTATATAAAAATTTCTAATCCACATTTCACAGGACTCAATTGTGAATTTCTTATAATTGAACCACCAAAGCATGGGTATGTTGAGAACTCTCGCTTTCCTGGAATAAAGTTAACTAAAGTTAACAGAAAACAGGTAATGTGGCTATGATAAGCTTGAGCTAAATGCAGTTACTTACTTTTCTTGTACTTATTTCAATACTAATTATTTGCGTTGGAGGGGTGTGGTAGTAGAGTGGTTAAAGCACCTCACTGTGGCTCCAGTGTCACAAGTTTGAACCTTGAGAGGGGGTTAACATTTAAAAATCAGCTACCTGTACTCAAAGTAGTTTTTATGAGTGCTTTGGGATACATTGCTTTTTCTCTGATCTTGTTATTTTTGTTTATTGTACTGCCTAAATGCCTCTCAGTATCTCGGGTTACTTCAGAACAGTCAAGTACTGTATCCATTTATGGTCTAATATACTAGAGATGGAATTGTATGTTTGAGAGAGAGACAGAAAGATGGAGTTATGAAAGTTGGGAGAGAATGATGATGGAGCTGGAGGCTTGAATGCTTTTCATTTAACACTTCAAATAATTTTCTTTTAATGCCTTAATTTTTTACTTCCTTTTTCAGGTGGAACAAGAATTAATCTTTTATGTTCATGATGGTAGTGAGAGCCTGATTGACAATTTTACTCTCATAGCAAATGACACAGAACTGTGGAAACAAAGCTTGCCCCAAACTATATTTGTGACTGTTACACCAGTAAATGATGAGGCTCCTGTTATAAGTAAGAACAAAATACTTAGGGTAAGTTCTGCATAGGTTCATCTTTATAATTTAAAACACATCTTCATTTTAACATGATATAACATAGTACCAACACTAGAAATAAAGATAGTTATGTATATATCTAGGAATACCTATTGTCTAGCAAAAGCCAGTTACGATGTATAGATACTGTGGAGATTGGCTTGGTAGGTAGGTAGATACCATGGAAAGTAACTTGCATGTATTGTGCCAGATTCTAGTCCCCAGGGCAGAATGTGAGGATAAGGCCCTTTCAGAATCATTGTGTTACTTCTGTGCCTCCTTCACATAAAACAGCTGAAATTCCATGGGTGTGAGGGAACAGAATGTCTTTTTAGTCTGATCTAGAAAATTGATGAAGTATGTCATATCTGTAATATGAAATAGGAAAGTTTCCCTCATAAAAGCTAGGCAGGTTTTATAAAAGTCTCTAATTAAAAAATAATACAGTATTCTACAGTTAGAGTCTAAAATATGATAGTTCATGAGAGTATTGTCAGACAGATTGCAGCTTGGATTGTATGTTAAGATACAGACAACCAACCAACTTAATTGTGGAGTAAAAACAGCCAGGGCTTGACTGTGCACCAGCTTCACTGCAGTAACACCCAATATGCATGCTCGTACCCCATTAAACCAGGGTAATTTGCCAATCTTTCATTGAGAGCTTAGCTACCATGGTCAGCTTATACCATAGGGCGTAAGAATGTGCACTTGAGCGGTTACCATAGAGCAGGTGACACACGCCCCATCTTATCTTTGAGTAAGATTTTCTGATGTCCATATCCTTTGTATATTTTTATTTGATGCAGGGCTAAAATAATTTTATATAACACTCAAAGCCTGCTTGACTTGCCTAATTCCCAAATAGTGGGTGTAACAGGAGGATTATATAGTTGGCATAAATTCCTCTCTCAGCAATCAGAGATGGCATTTAACCAGCCATCTCATTTTTGTAAGGACTAAGGGATGAGTTCTTGTCGCACCTGTTTCACGTTACTGTAACCTCTTTTAACTCATTAGTGCAGCTCCAGACATAATAAAAGAAACAGACCTGGAAGTACAGGAAACTCAGATGTGATATGGTCATCATGAAAAACAACGGCCACAGCAAACCAGCTGCAAGCTTATTAAAGGTGATGTGACAGAGAAGAGTATTTGTTGGAGGGCAGTTTATATGGTTAGGGAATGAATCATTCCCTGATACAACACCCTGCAGTTTACAAATTAGAACATTTAAAGCATATTTGCATTCGTCGTTTACATTAAGGACAGAATTTAGTTTCCCTTTGTGTGTCTACACGGAGGTTTTCTAGCTGTGCAAGGGGCGTTTTGGACACCATGCAGTTTGTGGTCCTCCTCCCCCCCAGCCTGCACTTGTCCCAGGACATATGCTCAGGTATGCATGTACATAGCCACATACATACCTAGCCAGTGTGTAGCCTACTGCACATGCTCAATCTTAGTGCACATACTTGTGTCCATACTGTAGAGAAATGGCAAACTGTGCATAAGTGGCAAAAATGCTACGTACATAGCTAGAAACTAAGCTATGTAATGCCACTTGCATAACTAGAAAACTGCCACTTCAATGAAAAAAGAGAAATAAACTTCCACCCTATGTGTCTTTGCATATTGTGTATACTGGAGACAAAATTGCATCCTAGTTCCATGCATTGCACAAAGGGTAGCAAGAGAGCCATATTTTTATAGTAAACAGTTGTAAAAGTTTGCAGCTTCACAGTAGAGGCAATTAACCCACGATAAGGGCTCTGTAGGCATCCACACAGCAAGACATCACAGATATTAGTCTTCAACACTTTACAAAGCTTCCTGACCACATGGTGGTTTCTCTGAGGATGAAAAGAAGCATTCTGTAGTAGAAATGCTGCAGGTGAGGATAGTTACCTATTGGTGCTGATCCCCAGACATTGACTGAGCAGGCATTAATGATCCTTTGATAATAGAGTACAGAGGTACAGGAGGTAGCTTTTCTAGCTAGATCTCCCACTTCCTATTTCCTTGTATAAAATGTACAATGGCTTTGAAGAACTGTCTGCTCATGGAACTGAGACCCAGCAGTACAACACATTGGTTTTCTGTAAAAGGGATGTTAAGACCAGACTTCCTAAGAAAAACAAAAAGCAGAACTAATCCTTAAATATGTTAGTCTTTTCTCCATAGAGAAAATACAGTCCACTCAGCTGGGCACTTTGCCTACTTCAGAGCCAGACTGTTGAGTTGATGACTGTGGTTTTTATAGCTATTTTAGACCCTTTACTGAGCTTCCCTACTCTATTTTTGTGTACTAGTTAAGTGCTAAAATACAGAACTACAGAATAAGCTATCGGATTTACCCAAAGAACTTTATCTGCCTATGTCCTTAGACCAACATGGCTACAACCTAGATCCCCAAAATGAAGAACTACTGCAAATACAGAACTACAGCAGCTGTGTGCACTGTAAAGGCAGGAAAGCCCAGTTTATGCCTCGCATGGTACTCCTGGAAGAAGATTATTGTAAACTAAGTGTAAATACCCCAAATAGATGGGAAAATAGCTTGCAGTGACTTTTCTTGAACCTGCTAAATACTGAGATCAGCAGGGAGTTCCTATGTAGTCTTTACATAAAGTGGCACTTGCCTGGTTCCAGGCTGTGCTTACCTCTCAGCAACATCTTTTACTGTTTTCTGTTGTCTTTTAACTTGTGTATGGTAATATGGTAAAAATATTTACTTTTCAAATATAGTAGCTCTTAGTTCATATTTTTTAAGAGATAAAAAAGTCAATATGTGATACTGAATGATCAACTAAATGCCATAAAAACTAGTCTGTTGACTTTGTGGGAAGATCTTAATGACAGTCTTTCATAAATCTCCCCTCCTTTAAGCAATAGATTTTACTGTTTCCTGTATTTCTGATCCTGTAAGACCTGATGCACATACCTGCTTCACATGCTTCCAGTCTGTGTAGGGGTACTTGCACTACCATTAGTTAAGCACAGAAGAAAAGCAGCCGAATCAGGATCTAAAAGAGCTATTAAGAGAGTAGCTAAATGAATAACAAAGATGGAAAAGAAGCTACAGTATTAAGCCTCGTTAAGAGCATCCATTAACGACAGATGGTTCATATGAAGATACGTATTATACTTGTGCTGGTCTCCAGATGAATATATGATGTTCAGTTTTGGCTTAGGAGTCTGCCCAGTGTTGAGCATTTCACACTCGGATATAAAATGATACCTTCAACTTGTTCATTTCTAAACCACAGTGCTTCTTAACAGTATCAAGGTTGTGTGAACAGTGCAGGCTTTTCCCTCACAAAGAAAAGCAACCCAACATGTGGGGTTATGTTTTTATTTTTTCAGAGTTTAAGAGTTACTGAGAGTTTTCCTTTCCTTTTCTTTTTTCTTGAGCCTTTATAAATTCTGAAAGAGTTACCAGAACATAATAGATGTGAACAATCCTTAGTAGGTGTTCAGTATTTCTATCTAGTAGTAAATGAGGAATTGCCACAAAGGTTTTGTGAAATAAAATATAAAACACTGTGAGACGCATTTTCTAAGCATATTAATGCTCAAACATAAAAATCTCATAGTTTTCAAAATGAAAAGCTCTAATTGTTAGGGTTCAATGCAAGGCCATAACTGTCAGTGGGTATTTTTCCCAACAGAAATCAAAAACAGAGATCAAAATCCTGATCTACTCCTCCCACTTATTATGCATTTAAGTAATAGTAGTATAAGATGTTACAATATCTCCATGTAGACAAAAGGGGGCAATCTTTTCATATATTTAGATTTTTTTTTTTTTTTTTTACAGAAGTCAGTTTTATTTATTTTTTTGAAAAAAGTCTTACAGGGCATCAAAATGGCTGCATCTATAGAACAGATATCAGGGGAAAAGGGGAGAAATCTAATGTATGGTAACTGAAATCTTTAAGCAAGGACTGTGAATTGTTTCCAGGAAACAAGGTCACGAACCTTTTTGTGTACTGTACTTGTGGAATGTGTCGAGCAAATGTGGAATTAGTGTAAAAATTACTTCTCAGAAGTTCAACATACACATTCTCCTTAAGAACAGAATGGAGAATGTTGATCTCCACCCTATAATAATGCAAACAGATGTGGGAAATATGCCACTTTTAAAGTATTTACAGTATTCCAAGCGTTTGCCTCCCTACAGTCCATTTCAGCCAATAGTTCCTCATGGATCATATTACAGGTCACATAGGATCTTAACACATAGAGCTCTGTGCATAAGCATGCTAGGGTGAACAGTATCCTTATAGCTAAAAAATATCCTACTTTTTATTTGGTTAATAAGCGGTAACATTTTAGGCTAGGCAAGCAGTTTGCTTGGAAGTAACAAATGGCCATACATTTGCATAATCATTTGTAGATATTTTACAATATTTAAGCAATACATTGGATATTCTATTTATATTAGTGTGGTCGCTATTGACATGAGTTTAGGATGACCATAGGTCACCAAATTAGTGCCATTAATGCCTCAATATGGTGGTCATTTTTTGCCAGTAGTTACCATGTTATGTATTTATAGATGGCAATTTAACAGTAAATAAATAAAAAAAAATCAAAACTGCCTTCTATAGAAAATTCAGAAGGATACTTTTCCATGCTTCAAAGGGGACCAATTATTTGTTGGGAGGATTTTTTTTCCTTGTATCACAAGATAATATTGCAAAAGAAGGCGATTTCTGTCTTTATGCCTTGTGCAGCATGTTTTAATTTTTTCTTCCAAAGTTTTTAGTGTCCCTTTATAAGAAATCACACTTAGTATAATTGCATTTCTTTTTTTTTTTCCATGTCAGGGATTTTCTATGTGTGTAGGTTGAAATCCTGCCTCTTCTGAAGTCAGTGGTAAAACTTTAATTAACTTCATTGGAGCCAGGATTTCAATTGTAGTCTTCCTTATTGTGTGCGCAATATAAACAAAATATAAATATAAAAAAATACAAGGAAAAAAGGTAAATTAATACTTAGGGAAAAACCATATTGTTTTACTTTTTAAATTTTGGATAAATTGAAATTACTTGTCAGGAATGATTTTTTTCTTCCGTTCACATTGAACTAGTATCACCGCAAAAGACCTGTTTTGTATCCTGCAATTCAGTAGATAGCAGAGAGTGGGCCGAGGCAAGAAAGACCTAGCAGACAGAGTGCCATTACAAGAATCTTAATATAGTAAAAGTCAAAGATGAACAGTTAGCTCAGCAATGAGACAAGTAGGTGTGATTTGTATGGGATATCTACAGACTTAATTAACTTCAACATTTAATGAGTATGTCCCAACCTTGGATTAGGCACCTTTGCCAATAATTAAAAATACAATCAGATCAAAAGGGTATAGCTGGCTGTCACTGTTCATGTCCAAATCAGAAAATAATCAACGAAAATTAAAAGAAGCTCAGACAACACTTCCCACACAGATGTTAGTCCTTATACTGCTTTCTCTTCTGCCCAAAATTCTGAGTCAACAGATGGGCCCTACAAAATACCCTGAGGCTACAGAGACCTATTCCTTGAATTAGACTAGCTAGCATTTAAGTAAGGGTTTTACACAGTGTTCCCAAATACTAGTTTTTTTTTCCCCCTCTGTTGGGTCATGACCTAAACTAAGTGCTAACCAACTGTTGGTGGTGTTGATAACAACACTTCTTTGCGTTGTTTGATACCTTTAAGACTGACCCCTTAGATCACAATTCCTTCAAACAGGAGGTAAAGGAAAATATATGTTTTTGGAAAGTCTTTCATTTTTATTAGTGGTTGTATTGTCCTTAATTCATTGTCTTTCTTTTACTCCAATGGGAATTGAAAGAACTGTACTGAGAGTGGAGAACATGGCACATGACGCTCCAAAGCATGGACTGATCTGCAACAAGTAGTTTGGGGCTTGTAGGCTGAGTCCTAACAATAGAACTGCTGTGTCTGTATGAGTTCATGCACTGCCAGACAAACTGAATGTCTATGTTGTTCTTTCAAATGCAGATTTTTTGCAGGATGTGCAGGATGTTGCTGCTCAATATCTTGTAGTTTTAAATGATTTTAAAATGTCAAAAATTCCAGCCCCTGATAAGCCTGACTGGATTGCAGGGTTACCTGCTTTAGCAACTTGACACAGATAATCCAACCAAACCTTTAATTTCCTCCTCCGTGTGTGTTGTTTTTTTTAAGGTTTGGGTGGCATCAGTCACTGAAATAACTGTTGACGATCTATGTGCAGAAGATAAAGATTCCTTACCCTCAGAGCTCGTGTACTCCATTACACCACCCAGCAATGGACACTTAGCTCTCAAATCTTCTCCAAACAAAAGCATCCTTAATTTTACCCAAGCTCACATAACTGAAGGACAGCTGGTGTTTGTACACAATGGTATGTAGTTCAGAAATATCTCATGCTATTAATAGAATACTGTATTCCTATATATGGTACATTTACATAAATAATCCTTAGAGGATGTTCTTGTAACATAGCCAAGTTTTATAAGCACTGATCAATTGATGTCACATCTTATAAGATAAACAGCAAAGGATCCAGGTCAGAACTTTAAGAAGTGACTCCCATGAAACACTCATGCTTCAGGGAAAAGAACTGGCGATTCAGCAGATGACACTTCCTTCTGAATCAGTATTACACTGATGCCCAAAAGCTGTGATCTGGAACTGTTGGGCCCCCGGTTAACCACTCATGGGCTGTGTATGGCCCACAGGCCTTATGCTAGCCCTTTGTGGGCCATATGCAACCTGTGGGCACCATTTGGACAGCCCCACACTTGTCAAATGTCAGCACCTGTCTCTCTCAGTGATTGTCTAGTACCAACAGTAATAACAGCATGCAGCTTGTAGCCTGGAACTTAAGTAGCTTGTCAGCATTAGTGCCTGAAGCACTGCAGCCCTTAAGTCTACTGCTTCTCTCTGTTTGAGTAACATGGGTTAGGGACCCCTGTTATGCAGTGCCCTTCTTCACATCAACAATCACTTCCCTAATCTGCACTGGGACTTCACCCAATTCCAGGATGGACATGAGCCGCCAATGCAAGGAAGCGGTCAGTGAGGCTAACCACACCTTGTCGTGTATCTACAGATGCATCACAAGCAGGACCAGGGAGGTGATCCTTCCCCTCTATGCAGCGCTGGTCAGGCCACATTGGAGTACTGCGTCCAGTTCTGGACACCGTGCTTCAAGAGGGATGTGACTAAATTTGAGAGAGTCCAGAGGAGGGCCACTCACATGATCAGGGGGCAGCAGGCCAGGCCCTACGAAGATAGACTAAAGGGCCTGAATCTATTCAGTCTCCACAAGAGAAGGCTGAGAGGGGATCTGGTGGCCATGTATAAACTTACTGGGGGGACCAGCGGAAAATAGGTGAGGCTCTGTTCCCCTGGGCACCACCTGGGATAACAAGGAATAATGGCCACAAATTGATTGAGAGCAGGTTCAGGCTAGATATCAGGAGGCATTACTTTATGGTTAGGGCTGCCAGGCTCTGGAATGGACTCCCAAGGAAGGTGGTACTCTCCCCTACCTTGGGAGTCTTCAAAGGAGGTTGGATAAATATCTGGCTGGAGTATTATGATCCCAGCACTCATTCCTGCTTAGGGCAGGGGTTTGGACTTGAAGATCTATTCAGGTCCCTTCCAACCCTAGTAACTATGAAACAATTGGTGTGAATTTATGATAAATCCATCATGCTACCATGCATATGTGTGTACCACAGACACGTATGAGTAGTTTAATAGCAATTATTGATGGTAGGATCAAGATGTTGTACTTGAATATCTGGAAAAGAGGTACAACAAGTGGTCAAGGTGGTCAAGAATGTAGCAAAAATGAGTCAGTCATTTTAACAGAAATGTCTCTGGGGAGTTTTCTATATGTAAAAACTGTATCTGTGGTTGAAGGGTGGTGAACTAAATTCGCAGAATTGAATTGTTCCCCTGAGTATAGAAGGGCAAATGAATATCTGCAGCTTTAGGAAACAAAGGTGGGTAGAAAAAAATGCAAGTAGTGGGAAGTTAAGTTTCCCAGTATCTAGGGTTAGGGGTCCCACAGCACATCAGAACTGTAGTGCTGCTTTGTTCTCTGGTGTCTGTTCCTGTCCCTAAATCCTATCTCTACCAACTCTGGGCCCATGGTCTTGCCAGTTTCTTCATAAAAGAAACATGTCTGGTAATTTAGTAATTGCCCGTGTGCCAATCCCTTACAACTACAGTGGCCTGCAGTGGACCTCCCAGTTAGTGATTCCAGTTCGGATCCTGGCTTTTCCTGTTCCTGAGCCCCCTAAGTTCACGGCTCTACCTCAGTGATTGCCCATGTCTTGGTCCCTTAGGAACTTGGCTTCCTGACCTTCCTGCTCCTGATCCCCTGACTCTTGACTCTAGTTTGGACCTTGTATGCTCCTGATCCCTTGGGCTGTGACCCTCCATGGTCCAGTCTTGTCTGCCTCTGCCCTGGTTGTAACCTTTGACACTGTATTCTAGCTCTTCGTCAGTCCCTCTGTCTTTTGGTGGCATTTTCATTGTCTCCCATGTCCTCAAGGGTTCTGTTCTTGGCTCTATATGCTTTTCAGTACATGTTTCCCTTTAACGTTGCATAGTATTATGACATCACGCTCCTTTGAAGACATTCTTTATGATGAGTTGCAAAGCTATCTCTTGATCCTTATGTTTCATTCTCCCTTCAGTGTTGAAGCATTATTTCTTTGTCTCCTTGTCTCACACTCTGTATACCAAAACTGAACTTCTTTTTCTGTACTTTCTTACCTACAGCAATTCTGTTGTTTTCGTAGATTCATAGAGTCGGAAGGGACCTCAGTGGGCCATCTACTCTGACTCCCTGCCCCTGGCAGGCAAGAAAAGAGTCACCAACCCTGGGGTCATGTGATCCCAGCCAGGTGCCTGTCCAGTCTCTTCTTGAAGACCCCCAAGGATGGGGCGAGCACCACCTCCCTTGGGAGTGCATTCCAGATTCTGGCAACCCTGACCATGAAGAACTTTTTTCTAATGTCCAGCCTAAACCTCTCTGGTAGCTTATGGCCATTGTTCCTTGTTGTTCCAGGGGATGCCCTGATGAACAGATCATTGCCTACTTCATGTTGCTCTCCCCTTATGAATTTGTATGCCACCACAAGGTCCCCTCTTGGCCTTCTCTTGGAGAGGCTGAAGAGGTTAAGGTCCCTTAGCCTTTCCCTGTAGGGCCTTCCCTGCAGGGATCTAATAAGGCGACTGGCTCTTCTTTGGACCCTCTCCAGGTTGTCTGCATCATGCTTGAACTGTGGTGTCCAGAACTGGACACAGTACTCCAGCTGCAGTCTGACCAGTGCCACATAGAGGGGAAGAATCACTTCCTTGGACCTATTTGTAAAGCACCTATTGATGCACAACAAGATGCGATTTGGCTCTGCCAACTGCTTCATCACATTGGTGGCTCATGTTCATCTTTGAGTCAACAGTGACTCCAAGATCTTTTTCTGCCTCAGTGGAGCTGAGAAGGTTGCCCCCCAGCCTATAAGTATGATGGCAGTTCTTCCTCCCTAGATGCAGCACCTTGCACTTCTCCTTATTGAATTGCATCCTGTTGCTCTCTGCCCACTTCCCCAACCTGTCTAGGCCAGCCTGGATCTGCTCCGTCCTCTCCAGGGTGTTAGCTGCAACCCATAATTTTGTGTCATCCGCGAATTTGGGCAGGGTGCTTCCCACCCCCTCATCCAGATCACTGATGAAGATGTTGAACAGCATTGGCCCCAGAACTGAGCCATGAGGGACTCCACTGCCCACAGCTTTCCAGGTTGACACCGACCTATCCACTACCACCCTCTGAGTGCGA